ACGTATATTCAATCTCTTGAGATAATGCTGTAGGAAAGGCAAAAGCGTAAAAATGTTTAAAATAGACCACTAAAATAGGCGGACTCATTACAATGGTTAGAATAGGAGACAGAGACAAGCTGTGTATTTAGTATTATTCTTTTATTTTCACTAGGACACAGACAACTAACTTCTTTATTAGTGACGCACTACCTCGAAAACAGTGACGAATACAATAAGCAGTATCAGATAAACAAACGACGTCTAACATGCTCATAATTAAAATATACACCCTGTCAGTAAGTTCCGCGTCATCTGAAATTCGCGAGCTCGCAACATTAAAACGTGAACATCATTCCTTCCGATGAATGACGGCTGATCCGGAACGTAGGTGTATCAGCATCACTGCATATTTTACTAAACGCTCAAAATGAGGAAGGTTATAATACAGCGTCCAACATTCGCAACACGGCGTGTAAAGGATGACGCTGTAAACTTATATGTACCACAACCTATTTTGTGTTATGAACATGAAGAGAATCTATTTTCTCATTATGCTACATAGTTTGGTGGGTAACTGGTTTGCCTTCTGCTTGGCAAGGGATTTTCTTCAGCCAGTCGTTCCGGATCTCCGTCACCGGGAACTCGTGGAAAGCGACCCCCGTCGAAGTCCGCGTGCTCGGCTTGCAAAGCGGCACACAGCAGGAGACCATCACAGCCCGTCGTTTAGCTCCACTTTACCATTAACCGTTAAGATATTTTACAGCCCGAAAAACCACGCGTCCACGCGTGCACGTGCCAAAAGACGGCCTGTACTAGCCTCCCCAAGCTTCCCGAGCGTACTAAGCAGCGGGGAAAGTGGAGATTCTAAGCAGCGCCAGCGGGAGCGGCGGGAACTAGGCGAACTAAAAAGAACTGAACAAGCAAAACAAAAAGCGGCGCGCTGGGGCAGGAGGAGGTGAGCTGGTCGCCCTTTATAGACCTTTTCACCCTCCACCGCATGGGCGCTGCCATCTTGGAATCACGTGATGCGGCCGCCATTGGGTTGCTTCAACTTGTCGCTCCGCTCTCCCGTCCGCGCCTTGGCGGATGCGTTGAATTCGTGTTTTTCGTCGCGTTTCACCGCGTCTCTTGCCTTACTCCGTAAAGTGTCGTCCGACACTTCTACTTACCATGCAATTGCATTACATCATTATGCGCGCAACTTCTGTAATTGATTTTGTAACACGTTTTGAATATTTTTTACCGTCGGCGTGCGGGATACGTGTGAAAAGGTTTTATAGGAGCAGGAATCAGCGTTAGCACTTGCGCACATTGAGAACATATAGGACTTGAAGAGAGCCTCGAGGGTTCAAATACCAATAACTTATGAGAACTGAAGTTTGGTTACTAATAAGGGCGGAACATTTGCAATAGGAAGCCCAGTGTTATTATATATATATATGAGTGCGCATTGGTGTCAAGGAAGAAAACAAAACCACTCAGCGTAATTAGCCACGTGTTTTTCCTGAAAAAATGGTGTTTTGTAGTTCCAACAGATCGAAAACAGTTTCTTTTGATTACACTAGGGAACTAGTGGACAGGGCGCGGGAACAAACATTTAGTTTGAATAATTTTTTATGCTAGAAATAATGGTACCTTAGCATTAGGCAACTTGTTTGTTCGCAAAATCACACCTATATCTGTTTTACGTTCTTAATCGCGTGTGTGATATAAGCATTCGCTTTATCGGTTTATTTATGAATACCACGGAATTGTATATCGTGCTTGGTCCCATGTCCATAGTTTTCAGTTGCTTTAGTAATTTTTTTAATATAACCATGCAATTTCAATTAATTTATTTCAACACAAATAATTGGACTCCCCGCGTAAGAAACTACCACAGACAGCTTGATAGTGCCTATGATTCATAAAATGTGACGCCGAAAAGAATCCTTCTGCATGAAAATCACCGGAGTGCAGCCAATTGTCGACGGCGCATAGGGAGTTACTTTCAGTAGATGGCGACGTCAAAATGTGCAAAGAGCATCGTTTCAAATCAGTGAACAGCTTTCTACACAGGTCCATTGGGTGGCGCCTGGCGTTCGACTTCAGCCAAACTTATTGGAAATCATTTCTTTTGCGCTCTTCAATTTCATTCGGCAAATTTTACGTAAAATGAATATCAGACTTTATTTGAAGCTGGCATTCACTTATCTTACCATTCTCATACCTTGAGAACGTCGTAAGCAAATGTCCAAATGACAAAAAGTTTATTTCATAAGGCCAATATTTTGAAATGCTGTAAATGAGTACTTTAGTTAAAGAAATTTTATAGTCAGCATAGGCTGGTCTATCAAAATATTTGTTGAGAGCTTAATTTCTTTAAATAAAACAGGCCGAGACAATATCACTTTTTTATATTATCTACGTGATTATATTAAACTCGTCTAGTCATTATAAAAGACATTTCCAGTCTCGAAGTTAGAAAAGGTTGGTGTACGGAAATCAAACATCGAACAGTAAACTTGTCAGTTCATCTGTTCTTGGTGATTCGGCAGATTGTTAATCATGTTGTCGACCTGATTTTTCACTAAGCACTCATGCAATATAGTCTGTTGCAATATAAGATGATCAGTTCAATATCTGACTTGAGCGCGAGCTATCTACTTCCGTACCGCTCGGTGCACGCACAGCCAAAGCACGGCGGCAGGCAACGAGCGCACTGTGCAGGCGGAGCTTGTCCTGCTCTTTATTTTTTTTTTCTTGAAATTAGTGTCCGCGGGTACGGCCGTGGACAATGGTACCCCTCCCTGTGCATCAGCGCAGTTGTTTCACCGCCGAACCTGGCCGAAATTAATGATGGACGGAATCAGACGCATATAGTGTTCGTAAAAAAAGATCGCAATTTAGGCTCGAAACCACTTCGTGGTTTCCCAAGTGGCTCAATACTATTGTTTCATTCGCTGTGTGCTACTAGAAAGAAATTCATATCGCAAAATAAATCGAAAGTGGCATGAAACAGCATCACAATCGCGTGTACGTTGAAACCGAAACCGACCAAATTGAAGCAACCTAATGGCGCCGAGTGCGCCAGCGCCCTCTACCCGCCGGTCAGGCAACTACTGTAATGAAAAGGTCTATAGAGTTGGTCGTGCTAAAAATCCACGTGCTCCGAACTATGCCTAGCTCTCTAATTGGTTGTTCGTTTTGCCGAAGACGCCGTTGCCATAGCAACAGCACCGGAAGTCATCGTTTCTCCGTAGGAGGTCGTAACTTTCCTCCTCTCACTTAAGAACGCGTTTATGAATACCGTTCTCGCCTCATCTTACGATGATCGTAACTTTACGAACTTCGTAGCTAAGTTGTCGTAGGTAAGAGGTTCTTTATGAATCTGCAGGCCAGATTCACGAAGAGCTTCTTAGTTTACAACAACTTAGCTAAGAAGTTCGTAAGTTAAGAACATCGTAAGAAGAGGAGAAATCGGTATTCACGAACGCGTTCTTAAGTGAGAGGAGGAAAGCGGCGTTGTCGTGCGGAAAAACTAAAACTTACCGGTGCTGTTGCTATGCCGACGGCGTCTTCGGCAGCACGAACAACCAATCGGAGAGCTCGGCATTTGTTCGGAGCCGTTCGGGGCCGTTCGGAGCCGTTCGGAGCACGTGGATTTTTCATAACAAACACAGGCGGCCTTTCTGCCACTGCTGGTCTGGGGTTCGTATCCGTGCAGTGATATGTCGACGCTAACACGATTTAAACTCGCCCGAATGCCGAGGCCGGGATGCGTAACCACCCCCTTTAACTGCTACGAACTCGATCGCTACCAAGTCAACACAACTGTCATCGTTGGTAAAAGACGGCCCGCAGTCGTTTGAAAAAGCGACGTAGATGGGAACAAATCGCCACGGCGTTTTTTGCGGCCTCGGAGATGCAGGAGCGAGCCGACGTTAAAAAAAAAAAATAAGTTTGAACTACGACATTGTAAGCAAGAGCCACGTAAACACTAAGGAGCGGACGCGCGCGTTTGATCGAAGTGCTGGATTTGCGCTGTTGGACCGCGAATTGATAAGCGCTTCGGGACCGATCCTCTACAATTGCAACTCGATGCTGACGTGACACCCGGCGAAGAAAGGTTGGACCGGCATTGCGACCCACGAACTGTTACAGCGATCGACAGTGAGGTGCAGTCGTGTCAGAATAAAATGGAATACTAATAACAAAGTGTACATACCATGTTGCGAAGGTAATCCATACGGCGTTTATTTGAGCTTAATATCACACAAAACAGAGATAGAATCGATGAGAGCCCCTTTTCGACGACAGCGTTCGTCACCGTTGCCTCGGAAAACAAGATGACAAGAGGAAGAGATTGACCTCTTAATCTAGAATTGAGGTCAGCGATCAAACTATAATACGGGAAGGGTTCACAAGGGTCGCGCGGGCATATTCCATTCAGCATGCCAGCCGGTCGAGGGCAGACGGTCTTCGCCAAGGACCGTCAGATCATCGCTGCGCCGAGTCGGAGTGCCTGCTAGGCCTATCTGCCGATCGGTCGGAGTCCGTACTCGTGGCCCTTGGAGTTTTTCCCGGGTGTCTGTGGATCCAGCGTTCTTGTTCTTTCGTACTTTTTACTTGTTTCTTGCTGCTTGAAGTCGGGAAGCGTTAGAAGCGCACGTAGAAAAATAAACATCCGTTGGTTGTCGCGACCAACTGAGCGACGCTGTCGGCCATGCTGATTTGATCGTAAGAAGTGCGTAAGACAGCTTCGGAGCTGTCGTAGGATTTCGTCGTAACCTGCGCAAAACTTACGAAAATTTCGTTTCGTGAATACGGATTTGTTCTTAAGTTCTGTCTTACGCACATTTTTGGCGTAAGATCGTTTCGTGAATCTGGCCTCTGGCCTCTGGTTCTGCCAGGCTCACTATTTTGAACAGCCTGGCTAGGCGGCGCTCAAAGCCACCTAATTCAACGAGATCAGCTATCTTCATTGTTCTTGTGTGCCTTGTGTTATTGCTACATCTATGTCACACGGAAAGCGCGAAATGGCGTGTTTCATAGCTATTCGCAGCGTTCTGAATGTTGTGCTGAACATTGGTTATAAACTTGAACGCAGCGAATATGACGGTTTTTTGACGCATATAATGTAATCTTTGAGAAGCATTTTCCAGTGTCGTCGAGGTGGCTGCGATGTCAGTCAGCGTCCCGTGGAAACCGTTCTCAAGTTGAAGAACCTCTGCTGCCTGACGCCAAAGGTTCATAGCAAGTTGACGTCTTTGTCTCTATTAGATTCGTCAATAATACTAGTAACATTTATTTGCACGAGAAGCTTACCCAGGGTGGCGTGCGAGGCTGAGCGGGCTGGCGGGCCATACAGGCCCGCCAGCCCGCTACCAAAGGTGCAGGATAAAGAACAAGGTAGTGTCTATTATCCCGGCAGCCGGCAGAATAATTTACGCCCTTTGGCAATGACAATCGGTTCATCGAGCGTCATTCCATCGGCACGTGATGTTTCATCGGCGGGAGCCCATCGGTGTCGCCACCGGCGGCCATTGCTTGACACCAGGCAATAGAGCTTTCCAAAAAGAGCGCTCTGGCCGCCGCCATTTTGCGAATCGAGCGACCCCTATCAGCCAGAAATTTCTAGCACCCGCCTGAGCTGTGGAAGCACGGTCAGCGTGACTCCCCACCTGCATTGTGCATTCGGAGTTCGCCGGCTTTTCTTGGAAGTTTTTACTTTATTTGCCTGTTTCGGATACTTACCCTTTGTGTGTTATCTTCCACTGTGAGAACCAGTGAATAGTCCAGGGACTCGGCCTTCGCAGGAAACGAACGAAGAGAGCGAACGTCAAGCTGCTCGTGACGCAGGCAGTTCGACGTTCTTGGAGGATTATTTATGTTGAGATAATCTCCAAAAAGCCTTCCCGACTATGTTCCGGGTCTTCGCGAAAAATAGCCGATAGGGTCGGGTCCGGGTTGTGGCGACGGAATAGAGACGTTCGTACAGTTGCTTTGAGCTGTGCGAAAGAGCAGCTCTCTTCTAGATGTTCCCCAAAACCCACCGGATTCCGTCCGATTGTCGTGAAGTGACTATCGGCGATTGTCGACACTGTATATTCGACATGCTGTGTTATTTGAGACCTTTCTCAAGTCCTGTTTGGATAACGCGGCACCGTGGGGTACGTACAATATATGTTGTTCGATTGATGATACTCGTTGAATTTCATGCTGTGGGCGGGGAATATTCATGTAGTTCGGATATCCTGTTGGTCAAATCTTTTCGACGGCTAAGACCTTTGTAAATTGACACAGCTGAGTGTACGGTGCCATAAAAAGATCAACATAAAAGGAAACAAATTTTTCAGTTGCATTTGTTCTGTTGCGCACGGACTCACCGAAACAGCTTTCATTTCTTTGTTTTTGTTCCCAAAAAATAGTACAATGCATTCTTAAAAACCCCGAGATATTCTATTCGCCACAGAACACGAAATAAAAAATAGAACGCGGCGATTTAGCCTCCACCAGCGTCCGGAAGTGCGCCTACGCAGGCTGCCACAGCCCCCTGACTAGAAAACCCACAGCTCAGCGCAGTCGGGCAACACTGACGTACCCTCTCGAAACCAGGGACGCCCGCTGTAAATCGCTTCGTTCGAGACTGCCGCTGGAAAGGTCTATACACGCAAGTCTATGGGAGAAACGCACAAAAGTATGAATATTGAAGCATGTATGCTGCGCTTGGAGGCGAGTATTTTATAGTGTGCTACGATCCTTATGTCGGGTGTTTGGAGACCGAATCGATATTTGTCAAGCGTTCGTACGACGATTAAAAAAATCAAACGTACCGGAGCACGTACGGCTGAGCTGGCAAGCTTGCTCTCGTTGTGGAGTAAACAAAGGAACTTGCCGTCGATGAGACCGTCCTTGGGGAAGCCCAGAAGTTGATGAATGACGAAGAAGTTCCATCTCGACAGCAGCTTTCCGAGAGTGAGGGAATTCCGCGTAGCAAAGCCTTCGAGCTTGTCGTCTGCTAAACCCAACTCAACAAAACCGCCACCGACTCCGCGGTAACTATAGGTTACTCTCGCCTCATTGTGCTGCACTACAGCGGAGTAACTCTCGACCACAAAATATTTACTTCTAAGAACGTGCGAGGGCTGTCAGTTTTAATGCTTGTGCGCACGCTGTTCGACGGGCTTATCGAAAAGCATCCAAAACGTTTCAGTGCCGACAACAGCTTAAAAACGTGAGAAAGGTAATTTTTTTCCGTTCTTCCCGTAGAGTCCCATGCATTGGCTGGTGTTAATTAATGGCCGCCGGTGGCGACACTCGACCCCAGCTGCCAAGGCCGCGGTCCGCGATCCAGCCTACTACAATAGAGATCAGTGGGGCGTGCACGGGCCACGGGGTGGCCAGTTGGGTTAACATTTTGGTAATGGGGCGCCACAGAAACGCTGCAAAATGGCCTCAATGGGTGGGCCGGGTAAATTAACACACACTACACACTACTGCATGCAATTCACGTAGTGAGTGTCGACGAAGCATTAAGTGTCGACAAAAGGTGTATCCATGATAGGTTGCCCATGAAATGTGTTTCTACGAAATGCCAGGAGAATGGTATTCTACCGGGAGTTGTCATACAATTTCGGACAGCCAATGGGAAGCGACAGTCAGTAGAATTTCAGGAAAATTATTCTGCGGCTGCTGAGAGAATTGGCACTGCCCAAAAACAAACAGAGTTCAATGGGTTCACCACTGTCATGACTGCTGCTGCAGAGGTAGATCGGAGCGAGGTGATCCGGCTTGGCATAGTGAGAGGATTAAATGTGTTTTATGGCATTTTTAAGATCTAGGTAGAGAGTAAACCGCTTAGGCAGACAGTATATTTAATCAATCGGCTGGTCCACATCAAGGCTGCTCAGTGGTTAGTGTGGGTAGACGAGAGTTGTGTAGTGAACACTTGAGCCATATCATGGGGCAGTGTTACCAGACAGTTGCGAAATGGGAGATTCAGCTTGTGAGAGGTGGACTGCTGTTAACTGATGACAGCTCAAAACATCTTGGGGTGACCTTTCTAGCTTATGTGCGAGCAGTGTGGATGGCAGGTTTGAGGGTCCTCTGAAGTCACTTTGCCTTTCAGAGCAGAACGGGGCTATGCAGGTTCCAGCAATTGTGCTCTACAGCGTGAAGACTGAAAAATTAATGCTAAATAGGATAGGCCGTTGGCCCTTTCATGGGATGCTGCTCATACTGTAGGGAAAACAATTTTATGTCGTTGTCGTTCTTTGACACTAGGTAATCGTGCATTTAAGTACAGTAACTATAGACATTTGCAGGCAGCCATGCTTTGAGAGCTAGTCTGAACGCCGTGGATGGAAAAAGCCTTGTTTGGGTGCCAATCTGGAAACCGTGGGTATGTGTCGCCAATGCTTGACTACCAAACGCAGTGATGTGATTACTGCGCCAAACTGTGCCAAGGGGCTAACCCTGCTACATCCTACTACATTTTGCCAAAATATGGGTAATCTGTGCCAAGCTTGCGCCAAAGGACCAATTTTGGTCGCCTTTGAAAACCGAAACTAAACTGAGTACCGTAATTAAACACACACAAGCTAGGTGGTGCAAGCAGCCGTCCGACACAAAGTACCATGCATCAATCGTTCATCCGGTCTTGCATGTCTTTCCCCGCCGTCTCTCGTCTCGCGTCTTTCTAAAAAAAAATTCAATGATAGACGTGGGCGTGTGCGGATGCTCCGACGCTAGCGTGCTGGGTACTAGCCATGCCGTCATGCTGTGAAACGAAACCATGTTTTTGCACGGCGGGGGTTACTTTATGGGCTGAAGCACTCGCTCCTAAAAGCAACGGCCGTGGCCAAACTATATTTGGTCCCTACCTTCCAGTCACCGTGGTCGCACGACGTCGGGTGTTGCCGTCCCTACTTCACTGCGCAGTTATGGCACTTTCTAAACTGAAACGTAAGGACTGCCGCATGTTCATCAATAATCCTGTTCTCATTTAATACGCTACTACAAACATTTCTTCAGCTCAAAGACTGCTGTGTCAAAGTATTGGTTACCTAGGTTTCACTCGGTAGGCTTTCTTTCGAGACGTACCCCGGTACGTGAAAAATCAGCTGCGAAAGATGTTGGTGAAGAGAAGTGAGCTAAAGCAAAGAAGGCAATGTCCGTGTGCTGAACCCGCACAGCGTGCTTATTTGTCTCGAGTTCAGTCGTTGCACAAAGCGCTCCATGAACTTTTTGACCCTGGCTGGCGATGTCGTGCATCGATGCACTCAGGATCTTTTTTAGATGCGGAGCATCTCTTGCTCGGGCTATGTCCCGCGGCGTCGTAGTCCGCACTCACACTACGCATGCGCAACTCTCCTCGCTGCGCGTGCGTTCTCTCTCTCTCCAACAGCTGCGCGAAGTGCACGCAGCTACCAGCTGCGTCCCTCTCCAACAGCTGCGCATGCGTTCTCTCTCTCTTCAACAGCTGCGCGAAGTGCACGCAGCTACCAGCTGCGTGCACTTCGTGTGCGTTCGCTTCTACTCACACCACGCGCGCAGGCGCAACTCTCCTCCTCTAGTTTCTTTTCCTTCAAGTTTGAATATAAGCAGTGGTAGCGCGCTGCGCACGTTCAAGGGGAGGAAGTGGCCAAGTGGGCTAACGCGTCTCACCTCGGAGCGTGGAGCGAAAGCTTGCGCTGGGAACCTCCTGGGTTCGAGTCCCCGCCACTCCCGCCCGTTTCGATCTGGATGAGTTTCGTACCGGCACGCGTTCGTGTGATGACTACTGCATGATGCACGTTAAGAATCCCAGGTTAGCGGTTGCACTGCACTGGCTAAATTTCTCATCTACAGCTAAGATACCGATTACCCGTTGAGGCGCATCTCCATCAAGGCTGTACAAACATAAAGAGCAAACCAATTTCTGCGCGCATTCAGTTCACCGCTGCTGACTCCACTTCACTTCATTCTTCCGATGAAGTGTGATGGAACAATGCTCCGCATCACCCCATGGTTCCCCTCGGGAAGATGGTGTAATTTTTTTTTAAGCATTAGCTTACCTGACTGAAGAGTATATCAAATGCAGAGTATGAATTCACTACTTATGAGCTCTGTCTTACTTTCGTTTTTCATGGTTTGAACATGCAACCTGGCGCCCCATGCTACACGATGGGACCAAGCGGTACAGGGGGTCCGTCATTGCTGATGTCGGAGATTGGTTAGTGGCGCGGCGCTGACCAATCACAGACGG